CACAGACTTGACAGACTTAACAATAGTTATATACCTTGATTCATTGATAACTGACTTAAATGAAAATATCAAAAATATAGAATATGTCATACAACTATTCAATTATTATTAAGACATTATTTATGAATATTTATAGTTATTAGACAATAGCAGGTATTGTTAAGGGTTTAACTTACTAAGGCTAATTTATTATTTATTTGTAGAATCTATAATTATTTACTGCATTATACTCTGCATATAAATAATGATAATGATGTCCTATTATGGTGAAATAACACCATACTACATTACCACATTTAATCAGACTAGAGATAGTTTCAGCAATTAAACCGCAATACTGTAAAACATAATTTACTTGTATTAATAGTTTTATTCAAATAGGATGTAATAATAATGCCACACAATTTGTGTACAACATAGTGAGTGTACGAACTTTGTCGCTACAATAATTGATAAATAGATTATGTTATTAATTTTAAATATTGCCAGTTTATATTATGTGAAAATGAGAGTTTTCTCTGGCCATTCGCTATCTGGTTATGTTGGTTTTTCAACCTACCTCTGAGTATGTTAAAATAGGTAGGTACTCTGTAAACAAGAACTGTTTGTCTATAATTATTTCAAAATCTTTTATATGACCAATGCGAACATAAAGTATATAAATTTTATGTGCTACCGGTTTTGGAAACCCGATAAAATATGATAATTATTAAGAGGAATTGTAGTATCTTTATAAAGCCATAGCTAATGAACAGATTAAACGAAAATATTGAAGAATCTATGAAGATATTGTAGAATATGTACGAATATGTACATAGTAAACATGTATATATATATACACAAAACTACACTTTGTTGTAAAGCTAAAATTTATACAAGTAGTCACTTGCATAAAGAATAATAATTTATTAATTATAAATAAACCACGATAGTAGTTAAATTAGTTATATAGTGTAATTTAATCAATAAATTAGTGAAGCTAGAATTTATACAAGTAGCTATATAAATCTAGTTAAGTATTAAAAACGTATAAACGAAACCTAAACGTTTAGGTGTACAATTACACTTTATAATAAACCACGTGACAAACATAGCAAGAACAAATAACACTGCTACACTGCCATACATGTGAACACGAATTAACAAAGAAACAAACAACGACCAAATGATGACTGACTAGAGACATGAGAATCAACAGCGCCCTGTACCGGCTGTAGGGCGGCGAAGGTCATTAATCCCCGCCTAGCGCATACATTTTGAGGAAATTGCAATTTTCAGATTTTCCCTTTATTTACACTATATGACCCACCTTTGTGCCAAATTTCACGTTTCTACCTATACTGGAAGTGTCTTATAATTTTGATGATGAGTGAGTGAGTCAATCAGTCAGGAACAGAAATTCAAGATTTGAAAGGGCTTATAATTAGGGGCTCATATTTTTACAGTGTCCTAAGCTACATGAGTTTAATCTATGTTCCAAATTTCAAAAGCTTATCTTAAGAAGTATTAGAGATATGAGAGTTAGAAATACTGGTTGAATAGGTTCGTGTAAAGATACACTGGCATTGCTAGAACTGCCGTGCGCTCCAATATTCCGAAAAAATGAGTGTCTTACCCAAAATGAATCACTCTGTATATATATAAATATATATTCATTTACATATGTTTTCAATAAATAGTGATGAACAATCTATATATCACATATTTGTAGTATTGGTTTTTTATCCGAAAAACCTATAAAGTTCAAAAACCACATTTATGAAAAATATATGTTTTGAAAATAAAGTGATTCACACATATTTACATTGGATTTTTTCGGTCGACAAAACAGATATTGTTCGACAATTTGTAAAAAAAACATTAAAACGGCCGGTTTAACTATCATTGCAATTGTTATAGTAAGTAATACTACCAAAATTTTAAAACTTCCCACTGTTAATATATTTTTCTAATTTTCAACGTTTTCCCGCATTTAGAGCTTCTACAACATTTAATCCACTAGTCCCAATTCATTATACATCAAGGCCATAAGTAAGTAATACTATCAAACTTCGTAAGTACGCATTATATAGAGATGGATGAATTTTAAACGCATTAATCTTAGAATAATATACAATATTGTAGTGTAGCATATTTCATAATAGTTTGGAATGCTCTGTGAAGCGTTATATTGGTATTAAATGCAATTGCAAGTGTCATCGTGGTTATGACGAAACCTTTGGTGTCGGATGTCTTAGGCCCATCGGTTGACACCAGCAAATCACCTCGTTAGTCAGTCGGAATGTCAGAATTTTTTTTTACATAATATAATAGTTTAGTTTTGTGTCGACGTGTAATTGTCACCGCCGTAATTCGATCGTTCAGCGCTACCGCGGCCCCCGCTGTCGGAACGCCCTTCCATAGTTTTGCGCCGCCGAATATCAAACCGGTACGTTTCGTTTTGCGCCGCTGAATATCAAACAGGTACGTTTAGGAAGTGCCGCCGTAACCTAGTTTGGCGCCGCCTTGTTTATTAGTAATGTTCCAAATATCAGAGCATCTTTAATTTACACACCAAATCATCTTTAATTTAAACGGCAGAGCATTTTAACGGCAGTTCAATCAATAAGCAGCGTCTTGATTTCAATTGACAGAGAGTTTCCCATTTCGACAAAAAATGTTTTTCTTTTAGCGGAAAAGAAAGCTTAATTTTTAGTACTAACTTGAATAAGATATTTATCAATTATTATTATACACGTTAAAATATTTAAGTTTTCATCAACACGATTCTTAATCGTTGTATACCGTTGTATAGTGGTATTATATAGTAGTTGGTATATACAAGATGGCCCACGAAGATTTGACAACTGAAATGACTTTTGTTCAAGTGAATATTTTTAAGTTTTTTTTTTAAAAAATAATTTATACTCATTTACGCTATAAGCACCACAGTTTTTATTGCACTTGGCTGTTATATTTTTTTAAATAATTTTTTTTTTTTTGGTTACGTTTTTGTTTTATTTTCAAGATATCCATTTTATTTAAAATAGTTTTTAAAAAAGAATTAGTAAACAAAAATTATATTTTTATCCATACATTAAAAAGATATAATCATTTGAAATTGGTGAAAATTTAAAAATTTCCCTCCGCGTTTTTTGTTGGCCATTTAAACGTATATTAAATCACAATTGTTCATCTTTTCATTTTATAAAAGCTTTTTTTTCTGATTAGACGGATATCATTGCAATTTTTTAAGTAAATGAAACTACTTAAAAATTTTAAAACTTCACACTTAATATATATTAGCTTAATATAGCTTCTATAACATTTAATCCACTAGTCCCAATTCATTATACATCAAGGTCATACGTGAATAATACTACTAAACATCGTAAGTACGCATTATATTGAGATGAATTTTAAACGCATTTGTCTTAGAATAACATACAACATTATATTTTCTAATCGATATCTTAAACATATAAGTCCATGTTTCTTTGTACAATATTTTTTGTAAATAGATTTTAAAACCAAATGTCATTTTAAAAAAAACAAATCATGCGAGGGAGTGCAGGTTATTTAAATTCGGATTTTGAGGATATTTGTGTACCAGAGCATGCCTGATCAACATTGTAATACAATTTTTTTTCAGTTCGACACTTTTTCGTTAAGTTATAGAAAGTTAACGTTAGTGGGGGTGAAGAAGTCTACTTTTTCGACTTTTAACCTAACAAAGTCACTCAAAATTTCGGATATCTAAGGTTAGGCTGCAAAATATGTTTTTAGTATATTGTATTGCCGAAATATAATGTACTCAAATTTAAAATGTGCAATGATTATTAAAATTTAATTTTTGATTTTGTATCTTTAAAATACATCTCAAGCTACTTTAAATCTTGTATTTTAAGTTTATTAAAAATACAAAAACAATGGTAAATTCTGAAAATAAAAGGTATTACCAGAACACTATACCTTCTTGCTGGTTAGACATTTTTGAAATACGATTTTTTTCGAACAAATTAAGATTAAAATTAAAAACATATAATATATTTTCCAGAAGCGCCTGAACATTAAAAAAATGCATATATGTTTATTAATGTTTTAGATAAAAATGAAAATTTCCTGTATTTTATTATCATTAATGTGCGTAAATGTTTTGGCTAATATAAGTATAAGTAAGTATTTTATTTTCATATTTACCTACACAAGGACGATAAAATTAAAAAAAAATAATATTTTACTTTTCTTTACAGCAGATTATATAAATATGGTTGAACTTCTGAGTAAGTGATATTTTATAATCATACAGATCAACATAGTACATTTTTAAATTTTACTATATTTGTATAAAACCTATTTCTAAAAACATTTATCACAGACTTGCAAATTCAGAAAGCTTCTGGCATTAACGACGGTTATATAGGAAGTAAGATAATAATTATCAATATACTAATATGTAATTGTTTGGGTATGTTGGCCTACTTATCAAATTATTTGTACATCAATAATAATATAATATAGTAACAGTGTGCCAAACACTGTAAACGTTTTTAAGTTTTAGAAATAAAGTAACAAATGTTTGTACTCGTATTTACTAGGAGTCCGGAAACGCATCTTTACGGTTTTAAAATAAGAGTTGGCTTTTATAATACAGCACTTCCGAAAAGTTATGTCTTACAATAATGATAACTATATTAGTTGAGAACATTATCTGTGTCTTTAAGTTAAGACTGTAAAAAAAATGTCCCCACCTAACTTCCTAATAAATGGGCGGGTGGTATCTTCTTAAAGTGGTAGTTTTATATTTTAGATTGGGTCTGTGCTCCATCACTCTTAGGCACGGGCCGTCCTGAAAGTCACTGTAATCTACAATGAGCATACTTTACCCCAGGAATGGACAAATTAGGGAGCTGGGGGGAGTTGCCTAATGTATGGTGTAATTTTATTTTTAAGCTTTTTATACACATTTTGAATTTATTCGAAACTTTTCTTTAGTTTTAACTTTTATTTGATTGTTTTAGATGGATTGGAGCGTGTAATTGAAGGCGTTTTGCGTACAAATTGTAGTCCATCGAGTAACAATAATTACATTTTAATAAAAACAAATCTTGCTAATATAATAATTGTATACGAATAACATTAAAAAAGAATTTTTAACCCTTTTACTGCCGTTGTGTTTTTCAAAAACGCAACGCAGTTTTTCAAACAGCAATGCGTCCCAACCATCACTATAATAATGGTATCCTGTTTCTTAGTTCTTTAATTGATTAGTACGTAAAAGTACGTCCACGACAGTGAAAGGGTTAGAGAAAATGTTTAAATTACATACATTGTTTTTTATCTTATTCTAATTCCCAATACGATTTAATACAGCTATTGTATTTTCATTAGGTTTCAAATAGAGATAAGCTTTTTGTTCTGAATTACCTATACACATATTCTTTTTTTTAAACTTTTCTTTAGTTTAGTTTATAATAGAATAGAAAATTAAATTCAATGCCATTTTTGTATTGCTAATTTCAGGGTATGTGATTGAAATGTTCACTGTACCTGGTAATATGTTTAATAGTATTTTATGGAAATATTTCCACACAGTCGTATAATAATTATTAAGTATACAAGGTTTTCGCATTAATTTCAGAACTTGCACTTACTTACAACTTTGACTATCTACAAGGTAATCAATTATCACTTTTATAAATTATAAATTTCAAATTAATAATGCATTGCACAGAATTATATGTACAACATTGGTTTCTATTACAAAAAAAATATATACATACAATTAAAATTTTTATTTTATTTTCAAATTTAGATTCCATACTGACACAAACAGATAATCTGCAACAGGAATTATTTCAGAATTTAGGTAAATATAAAATGTTAAATTTTTTAGTAAACAATTTTTAAAGGCCAATAAGTACGATGAAATGTGAGTGTGGATAAAAATATTAGGTTATTACATTTTTGGAGATTTCAAACAAAAGTTAAAACTATTTCTAATTATACGGAATATAACTAGATTCATCAAGGTACAACAGCTCAAAATATCTTGTAAAATACAAAGAACAAAATAAATAAACATTAAAGATTGAATTATTATTAAATTCAGTGTGCAGAAAGTATTTATTTAAATGTTGCTAGAGAATAATTTAATGTTAATAATTTATTTAGCATTAAATAATTCGTAAGATAATTACCAATTTTTCGTTTCAAAACGAATGTTATGGATAAATATAACGACTTGGTTTGATAAATTGTATAATCATGTTATATTTTTGTTACAGGTATTCCTATAGTCTATCCAAACAAAAGTAAATACAAAATTAATTGTTCATTAAAAAAAAAGTTATGATTTGAACAAACGATAAAATTTTCTTTATTTTTTTATGTACATTAAATTTTTAATAAACTAAAATTTAGTTGAGGAATCATAACATATAACATCAGGAAGTACAACTTTAAAATAAAAACATAAATAGGAATATATTAATAAATTTTGTATTATTAATACGATGATATATAAATGTATGCAGGTAATGAAATTTTAAGAATAACCACACTTGGAAAAACAAGAACTTATCTTACTGGAAAAGCTTTACATAATTTACATAAGCAAATAATTGGTGAGTATTTAAGTATAGAGTTTGAGTGGTATTGCTTTTCTATTAACATTCTATTTCTTACAGGGTGTTTCATAATTGATAACACAATCAATATTTTTTAACTAAATGATAAATTTTGGCTTTTCTCTTTGGAGACTCATTAATTTTTGTTATTGTTCAATATTACACGATATTTAAACTATTTTCTAGAGCGGGGGGGGGGGGGGGCTTTATGTTAGTACTAAAATATTTGGCATAGATTAGCTGGAACTGTCATGGGTAAATAAAATAATCCAGGTTGATTAACTATTAAAAATTTATATATTATTGTTACAGATATTCCTGCACTTGATGATAAAAACCAAAGTAATTACAAAGTAATCTCTCTCTGTTATACAGGGTGTTCCAGTATGGAAGGTAAGTAATAGGTGATTGGACATCTGGGGACCCCCAAATAAGCCCCCCGTTTTATTTTTTCAATAAGTCAAAAATTGAAGATTTCCACAGGTAAGTAAACAAATAACGACTTAAAAATAAAAAAATATATACCCTGTTATTCAGTGCAAAAAGCTCACCTTAAAAGAGGGGTCACATCATTTTCAGTCTTTTTCAGCCCCTAACTCTTCTCTTATCACTCATCTTATCATTTTTTCTTACCTCTAGTCCCTAATCATTTATCTCTTATCACTAATATTTGATTATTTACTTCTTGTCTCTTGTTTCTAATTATTTATCTCTAATCTCTTATCATTTAGCACCTATCTCTTATCAGTTATCTCTAATCTCTCATAATTTATCTCTTTTCTTATATTTTATCACTTATCATTTATTTCTGGTCTCTAATCATATTTCTCTTATCATTTTTTGAGTTAGGGGCCAAAAGGGACTGAAAATGATGTGATCCCTCTTTTAAGGTGAGCTTTTTGCACTAAATAACAGGGAAAAATTTTTTTTATCTTTAAGTCATTATTTTTTTACTTAACTGTCGAAATCTTCAATTTTTAACTTATCGATAATATTAAAACGGGGGGCTTATTTGGGGGTTCCCCAGATGTTCAATCACCTATTACATACCTTTCATATTGGAACACCCTGTATATCTGATTGTCATTTCAAATAATAATTACAACGGTTTTCGATAGTATTGAATATTACTTTTAGCTTATTTGAAAGATATATTTAGTTTTATTTATATTCATTTGTCCACACAGTAATTATAATAAAGTGAAACTTTAGTTTGGGAGACTTAATAACATATTACTAATATTATAATTACATTAAAATTTTGGACAGCGTGAATCAATTTTTAACAATACAATTGTTAAGCTCACGAAGCGGTTTCTGATCTTTTTACATAAATCATTTTTTTTTAGTATTACCTTATCTGTGAACTGTTGCCTTTAACATACTAAACTTAATGTTTTTTTTGACTGGACTTACCTTCTTGGTCTGTCATTTTATGTTAAAAAATGTCATATTGTGACTTTTTCCAACAAACCGTAATTATCCTCCAGGATTATGGATAACAATTACAACCAGTTTTGATCAACTATATAATTGTTTTATATTTTTGTTACAGCTGTTACTAAACATAATGATATAGACAAAAGAAGTTACAAAGCTACGCGTTAGTATTAAATAGAGCTTACGGCTTGTTTGAAATATAAAATGTGCTTTATTTATTCATTTGTTTTATGTAGAGTATTCTTTTAGTACTCTTACCAAACAATGGTTCAGATAACAATTGAGAAAATACAAAATTACATTTTTAGCCTATGTCGTCTTTTTACTAAAAATACAGCACCCTCTTCACGACTAAATCGCTGTCCACACTTTCTTTAACCTAACCTTGGATGATCTTCGGACTAACAATAAACTCTATTTTAATTTTTCACCCCTTCTAGACTCCACCAACGCTGCTGCTATTCTTTTTATCATATCTCTTTACGTTTCTTCCCACTCTTTTTGTACTAATTAAGATGTTTAGTTAAAAAATTAAAAAAAATGCGAATATGTTAATAAATATTATATTATCGACCCAGTAATTCATATTTATGTATATTTATGCAGGTAGAGCCACTATTAAATTGACCGAACTCGGAAAGGCGAGAAGACTTCTAACAAAAAAAGCTATAAAAAATGTACTTACCCAAGCATTAGGTGAATATAAATCGAATTTTTTAATAATATCGATTTCTTCAGCGTGATTTAATATGGATAACACAACCAATTTTTCTTAATTACTAGAAAATTTGTGGTTTTCTTTTTGGAGATATTTTAATCTTTGTTATTTTTCAATATAACACATTTTTTAAACACAATTTTAGAGCGAAAGGGGGTTATTGGATTTATGTTATAACTATATTATTTGTTATTCCTCAATTTATTTTTAAATAACTACAAATTTGTTATTTTTATGTGTTTCACACTTTAGTTATTGTTATTTTGCAATATTTCTCACAACATATACATTTTTTCAATACTTTTTCTGGAGCTTTAGCAACAAGAATAATTTGTTGAAAATGTTGACTGGCTTAGAAATAGTTTTGGAAAATTACTTTAAAAGTACTTTTAATGAAGTTTCAAATTTAGGATAAGAATTGGAATGCCGTATATAAATGCAAGCAGATGATAATAATAATATGCTTTATCCTTTATTTTGTCCTGTTAATTACTTTAAAAATAACTATCCACAAATGGTTATCGACCAGTCAAAAGCATCTTGAAGAAAAATTATTTAATATTTACTCATAATTATATAAACTATTTTGATTACTGTAGTAGTGATTACTTTTCCCGTTTTTATACTTTTCTATGAATTCACGCCTCTTATCAATCATGTTTATAGAAAACCAGGTTGAAATGAATACATTTTTAGCTTTCTAAAAACATATTATAAAATTGCCTAAACTTTGAGCAACACGAAAAAAATCACACATTTTAGATTAAAAACTCAATTAAAATGACTTTCTGTGACACACACGAAAAAAAAATCTGAATTTTTTCTAAAAAGCCGAGATTTTTTTTCATAAAAAACTGCCTATTGATAACGTTTTGCGTTTGGCAAAAAAAAAATTATAAAAAAGAAGAATAAAGAAAAACTAATACATATATATTATAACATTTTAATAAAAAAAAAAATCCAAACATTATTTTTTATGCGTTACAGACATGCAGGTTAAGTTTCAAAAAGTTCGGTGAGGAGGAGGTGGTAGGTTCTTCAAATATTCGTTTATAATCAGCGTTTTGACCAATATACATATTCTATATTATAATTGTATTATTTGACTATCTGACGGCCCTTCCCGGACAGCGAATCCGTCTAGAAACCATCGTGATTGATGGTGATGCATTGCATAAGTTATTTTATTTACGTTTAGTAAATTTGTCTTGCACAATAAAATGAAATAGTTACTAGTAAGCTGAATTTGGCAAGTTTTAACTACTATTTTCTTTATTTTTAGCTGAACTGATTTCGTATGACAAGGAGCATTGTGTTTATACACTTTGTTTGATGATAGCATTGTGGATTAGTTCAAAAACGGCTTCAATACCGTTTGTTACTTTGGATCATGAAGAGGATATTGATGTTTGTGTAGTACAAGATGAGGACTGGAATGCTGTAAAATACAAATCATTTAAGGGCATATATTGGCAAGTAAATGTCAATGAAACGGATACTAAAATAGAAGAACTAAATGTACAGGTACTCGACGATTCCAGTATTCCACGATTTGAGAAAGTGTTAGACTAGTAATAAATGTTTATTTCTAAAATATTATAAATAATTTTTACATACTGTACTAACATCCAAATTGTTATTTAATGTTATGGTTTTTCTAAAATAAACTTGGCTCACAATTTTAAACTCATATTTTGTTGTTTAAAAATTATTATTATTATTATTGCATACTATGGTTTTATTTTTACTGGAGGACGTTTTATGATCTAGATTGATAACCAATGAAGAGGAGGATGGAAGGTTCTCGCAAGACTATTTATTGCCCAATGAGAGATAAAATTATAATATGATCAGTTCAATATTCAATTGTAAAAAAACTATTGTATTTGTTATAGGATTTTTTTTTCGGGGTTTTATTAATAAACAAAAGATTTGCGTGTCTGCAAATCGTTGTTGTCTGCTTCTATGTTAGACGTAGAAGCAGACAAGAGCGAAGTGATGGCAAAAGCTAGAATGACAGTAGAGCAGTCATCCAGGGAGTAGAGAATGGATATTAAACCTGTAAGAGTAAAACAGTAAGAACTTTCTCTGAACTCTTTCGACCATGGCGCTGGCATTAGCGGTAGCTGGGTCCTAGAGAACACTGGCATACTCAAAGGTCGGACGGACAAGAGAGCAATGAGGGAGTTTAAAAGGGTGAAAAATATTAAAGCTTTGAGTGGAATCACTAAAAAACTCAAGAAGCTTTACTCTTTAGTGCTCTTTTTAACATACAATTTTAATAGTATTTTGCAAGTGTTCAATGTTAGATATTGGATTTTTGTACACTTCGTTTTTAAGCAAGCCCCATAAATAAAAATCCATAATAGTTAAGTCGGGCGATCTTGCTGGCCATTGGATGTTTTGACTCTTTGTGCCCATCCATCTACTCCCAAATGTATCAGCTAAGTAATTTTGTACAACCTTTGCATTATGGGCTGGAGCTCCTTCTTGTTGCCAAAACATACTTAACCTTTTCTGGAGTGGTAAATCCTCCAATAGTATCGGTAAATCATTTTTTAAAAATTCAAGATACTTCTTTGCGTTAATATTCTCCTGATAAAAATATGGACCAATAATATTAATAGTAAGATAATCCTAACTCTTCTAAAATTAAAATATTAAATAATTAATGCGAAACTTTTATTTTATATTTTATTTAGTACCTGCATCAGCTCTCAGCGATATTTTGGGCCGTGCGCTAAGAAAGGCCAAAACTGCTATACTATTTTCATAATTAGTTTGACTTTTACGATACTGTGTGTTATGCAAAGTAAAATTACCCACAAATGCCATGTTTTTGTGGATTCGCGCAAACATAGAGTGATGTGGACAAGACCGATTGATAAAACGCTGTTGATACAACCTTCAATTTAAAATCTTTCATAAGTATTTTTGATCCTATTTTATTAGAAATTAATTCAAAAGAATTTACGTTTGTACCTTTGTGCAACTCTAGTGTTTTTACTACATTCGATGTAGCATGTCTGCATATCTACTTTCTCACTATTACTATAAGACATAGTATAATGTAACACTATTATTTTAACGTAAAAACAAATAAAATTGTCAATTGATATAATTGTACTAAAAACTGAATTACCGTGTAAATTTTTGTGAACATGTACAAAATTGTAAACTATCCACTAACCATCTATTTTGTCTAAATTACCTAGTCACTTACGAGCACTTACGATAAAAGTTTGTTGTTCGAAACATTCTAAAAATACAATTTTCCTTAATAAGAACCAGTTTGTTATCGCAAATTCTATGCATCTTATCTAATGACATATAAGAGTTAGTATTATTGTTGTTCAATATTTTTTTGGCGAATATTATAACAGAGTACACACATGCATATGTGTAATAATTAAATATCTAATAATTGTGCGATAGCATTACCGCTATCTGGGATTCTTGAGCTCGTTAAATCCATTATTTTCTTAATAAACTAATTGAGGCCGATATTTTATCCCAGTCTGTCCCAGATTTTATTACGTTAAGCTAATTTTATTTATTTAACCAAAACGATCAAGTAGTACCGGGTGATTTGATAACTACGGGACACACAATATCTTAAAACATATTACTTTCTTCCTCCAAACTTTCTTTTATTGCCGCTTCCAATGAAGTCGGTCTTTCAGCTTTTATAATTGTTTTTACCGGCTGTCGTAGCCCCTCGAGTGGCTAACGTCTGGCTTTTGATATGGTCGCGAAAAATTTTGGCTTCGGCGACCGATTTTCCCATTGCGCTCGCGTTGCACAGTTCATGAAATGCGTTGCCGCGCAATTTTGTTTCTATTGCTTTTTATAGAATGGGTTTTGCTTCGTCTGCTACACTAATTAGTGCGATTTCGCAGGCATTAATAAAAGGGTATTTATCGGACCGTATTGTGCCGTCAAAAATTGGTATAAGACGTAACGCCTCGCCGAGTGTGAGTGTAGATGCCAAATTATTTGTGTTTACTACGGACACGGTGCGAGCGGTGTTATTGTCGGCGCCCGTAGTATTTGCCGTGTGAATACTATCCGGTACGTTCGTTGCCGCGGATAAGGTGGCGGTGGTGACAGTTACATTAGCGGGGGATCCAACGGTGGCAGCGTCGGCGGTTGTACCGGTGTCCTCCTTGGGCGCTCGCGCTGCGCTACGTGTGACGCGTTCTTTTTCTGATTTCGCCTCGGCCACACGAGTACTTATGCCTTCGCCGGTGTTTTGCGTCGGCCCAAGTAAATTGCATAATTCGCGCACTGAACTATCACCTAACTGAAATAACGAGTCGGGATATCCGGCGGCGATTGACCTAGTAACAGGCCTGTGGGAATTTTGTATTTGATTCCCCCCGTCCCTACTGTTGTCGCTGTTGAACGCAATATTGTTCAGAATATTGATATATTCCGAGAAAATGAGTGTCTTACCCAAATAGAATCACCCTGTATATATATTATATTACATATATGAACAATATACATATATCACATATTAGTAGTACGGTTTTTTTATCCGAGAAACCTATAAAACCAAAAAAACACGTTTATAAGAAATATGTATTGAAAATAAAGTGATTGACACATATTTACATTGGATTTTTTCATTCGACAAAAACAGATATTGTTCGACAAGTTGTAAAAAACCTCTAAAACGGCCGGTTTAACTATCATTGCAATTGTTATAGTAAGTAATACTACCAAAATTTTAAAACTTCCCACTTTTAATATATTTTTCTAATTTTCAACGTTTTCCCGCATTTAGAGCTTCTACAACATTTAATCCACTAGTCCCAATTCATTATACATCAAGGCCATAAGTAAGTAATACTATTACTAAAGTACGCATTATATAGAGATGGATGAATTTTAAACGCACTTATCTTAGAATAATGTACAATATTGTAGTATAGCATATTTCATAATAGTTTGGAATGCTCTATGTAGCGTTATA